TTAATCAGTTTCGTACTTCTTACACGTTTTTTAGAATACTGCTATCGTTCAATATGATAGTGATAATTATCAGGGGAATTAATTAGAAGTTTCTCGAGTTTTGGGTAAAAAATTTGGAATTTTCATATTTATGGAACAGAAAATGGGGACTAAACTTCTTTTCCAACACAATGAAGTGATTTTAAATATTGAGATTTATTCGCTTTCATAAAAAAAAAAAGTGATCAACGTTTGCAAAGTGATAAATTTGCTTTGATATCATCTGTATGGGATAAGTTTCTTCAAAATAGCCAAAATTGCTGCAAACTAGGTGTAAATATTACCATTGACAAACAAGCTCTTTCCATCAAAAGCCAGATGACAGATTTATTCAATATTTACCGAATATTTGCCTTTTGTAAGAAAGTAATAAATCAATAAACATGGAAACATTCTATTATTACGTATTTTTCAAAGAACCAGTCATTTTGAAATAGCTTCGTCTTAACTGTCGGTAGTTCGTGTTAACACTTCCTTCCTGCCAGGTATCAAGTGCCCTCGAGATGCACGCGAAACATTTCCACAATGTCCTTTTCCCATTTCGCGCAATTATAGCCCGAAACCAGCCAGTCCAACGATCGACTCACTGTCCGATATCGATCGGTCTAACCGCCCACTCATACACGGTGTGCCATTATCATTTGGCAAGCATCGAGCCAAAAGAGGGGGGATCGGATGTCGCGATAATTAAAAGGAGAGTTAAAGCGCGCCGTAGGGTAAGGTACAAAAGAGGTTGGAAAGCAGCCGAGTGTCTGGAGCTGGTGTCCGCGCGCCCGGCTAACGGCACGATCGTCGAGGAAAAGAGGGTTACAGTCGTTAAAAGTCGCTGGAATGCAGCGGCTCGACATTTCTGCGCTCCCCTCGCGTGATCCGTGGCGCCGATCCTCGCGCTCTCGAAATACAGCCAGCTTCCGTATAAATCCGCGTCTCCAATCTCCTCGAGAAACAGACGTTTGCCGATACTCGTCAACACGCTTCCGGAGATTTGTTTCTTCTCCATCGTCGAGACGCAGATTCTGTCTACGAGCATATAAATGGCCACGCGTGGGAACATTTGGATGGCTACGTGGGTCATTTATATACTCGATCAGAGTTGTTAATTTTTGAGAGAAATTTACCGCAACGAGAGTATTTTGTTTACATACGTATTATCTACTTACGCGGATGAACAGTTTAGTTGAATAATTTTTTTTTAACACGTTCCGTTTTTGCTCTGTGTTTTGACTAAAGGTTGATATATTATCACACAATCTTTCATTACATCATCA